GGGTCCCTTCTCTTCTACTTATTCTTCATGAAAAAACAGGACACAGCTTGTCTGAATTTTCTAAAAGCTCATGCAAAGTAATTTAAAAATTATTTTTAGCGTTGCCCTAAAACCTGCCACAAATTGAGTCTTCATTTCAATCCTCAAATTATTTATCATATAGACAAGCATAACCTATGACAAACAAAATTTCATTTGCTTTTATCTTATTTACAACTCTGTCAATTTCAGAAGAAATTTCTTCTCAAAATCCCAAAAGCAAATGACACAGAGAGAACAGGACAGTAACCAAGCTCCTAAATCAGTCTCTGGGGTTGTTACTGCCTAGCCATACCTGTCCACCTCTGGCCAGCATGCTGACCCATATGGTACTTGTTGGTCGAGAGGAATTTTCCAGACAAGACCTACACTCTCCTGTGTAGGCATATTTTGAATCTTTCTTTGCAAACACATACACTGTATTTGTAGCCATCTTCTCCTGAGCAATCAGAACCTGTGGGAGAAACAAGAGTACCAGTAAATAACTGACAAAAGAGAATACTGAAAGCAATATACAGAAACACTCACTGTTTACAGAAACACTCACTGTTTCTACTATTCCTTCAGGTGCCTCAACTTTAACAGCACTGCACAGCATGAAGTCAATAGTATTTTAAAAATACAGATTTAAATATAATATAAGCTAGTTAAGATGAAATAGTCCAAACAAGAGACTCAGGGAACTCTGTTGTCTTTTGTTACTTACCACACATGCTGGCTGTGCTGAGACAATTTGCACACTGATAAAGAAAGCAATTCACTACCTGTTTTTCCAAGGCCAATGTACTACAAAGGCAAATTTCAATGCCAGCTCAACAATCAAAGCCAGATTTTTTCCCCCAAGAAGAAATATAAAATTCTGGTTATTTTGCTGTGTTTACCCAGGTTATCAATTAGAAAATATTGTCAGTTTCACAAGTGAGGCACTAACAGAGTGTGGATATGATTTTCTGAAGCTTCTTCCACAGTACTGGAGGCAAGAACTTCTTAAAACAAAATGCATAAAAAATACAGCAAAATCACCAGCAAAAGTACAGTTATGAACAAGCTGGAGGACACACTGAGTGAGGAATTGCCTCATTTCAGAATGCATGCTGCTCTGCAATACTGGAAAAGGAAATAAAAATATCTAGAGCACTTAGTGGCAAAGAGTTCACAAAAGGCAAAGCAGTTCACAAAACTGAAGAAGGAAGAACTGAAGATGGGAAATGTGCCTCAAAGAAGAAAAGGTGGCTTGAGAAAACCCTAACAGATGACTAAAATCTCATCTTTCTGCAAGATCAGGAGCTCCCACAGTATCTCTGGTACACTGGAATAAGAGTGTTTATGCTCCTGGCAAAACAGATGGAAACAAGTGGCAGAACTTCCAGTGTCTGTACAGAGGGCTGTGCAAGGTGCATCCCTTACCTTTTCTGAGCCATTGATGATGAAGTAGCCCCCAGGATCCAGTGGGCACTCGTTCAGCTCACAGAGATCACGGTCAGTTAAGCCATTCAGCAAACAGTACGTGGAACGCAGCATGATAGGAATCTTTCCTATAAAGGTTTTCTGATGCTGGGTCTGCAATTGGTCCTCCCCTTCTTTAATAACTGTTTTAGTTATATCCACATACAAGGGAGCAGAATACCTGCAGAATAAAAACAGCCCTGTGTCACCTGTCAGTTACTACCTTTCTGTACAACCCTGAGTAATGCACTCACTGGTGTATTAAGCATTATTACCAAATCACCATCTGCATTTAACAACTGGACATGGAAGTTTAAACAAAGCAGAAATTATTACATTTTCAAGGCACTACTATATTGCAAAAGGCTATGAATTAATAAGGCAGAGGTAGTTCTTCCTTGTGTTTATCCACCACAGAGTTGGCTCTTACGTGAGGTTTCTCAGCCTGGCTTCATTTGGCATCATAGGTGAGGGTGCTCCATCTCTTTCCCAATGTGTAGGCTTGGAGAGATAGATTTGTTCAAACTTCAACAAATACCGGGGCTGGAAAACAAAAATACATTTACTTGTAATGGAAGAAACATCTCTCCTATTACCAACCAGAACTGTTACTGCAGAAGAACAACCCCTACCAATAAATGAAAACACAGCAAGTTGGGTAACACCATTCCTAGGAAGATTCCCTAGGACAAGTAAGCAAAGGAAGACTTGAGCTCTTGGAAAACAATCTGATTTTTAAAATGCTCAAAAGCTTCCTACAACAGGAGGTGGCAGACCCTTGTTGACAAATGTTTTGCAAGTAAAAAAAAAAAATCTCAATCTTTACGTGAAGAAACACCTTTTCCTGGCTTTGCAGCAACAACCACATACAGTACCATTTCCCAAGTTCTCATGAAAGCAATTTTAAGAATATGTTTACCATCCTTCTTATCTTTGAGCATGGTTGCTAAACCCTCTCATGTGCTCTAAACTGCCTTCAAAATTTCAGACTGAGAAGCAGAGGGAGACAGAAACAAACAAAAAAAAAAATCAAGTTCTTCCTAATACACACATTTTCCTTAAATTAGTCCAGCATCCTCAAATGTGGTGAGAGATTGCCTGGCAAGTGACTCTGAAGGAAAAAGCAAGTTTTCTTTTTCTCATCTCTATACCTATTCCTAAAATCTTGCATTTAATAAATGAGAATAAGACACTAACCTCTGTGATTTGAGAAGGTAAAATAATAGCTTTTGGGCAAAAAGAAGCCCAGCACAAACCATGCTTGTGATTGGAACAGTGACCAGGCACAGTACAAACAACAGCTGCAGAACTGCACAAGTAGAGAATTCTGCCATAATATACAGAGAATAACAGAGGAAATATTAAGAATTAGTGAGCTAAATGTTTATGAACTGTTTGCCATTCGAAGAAACTAAAAGACATTTTAGTTACTCTCTACAGCATAGTTGTTTGCCTGCAAAAAATGCAAAGGAACAGGAAAACCATATCACAAATTCAATGCTCTGGTGTCCTAAAGTTCCTTTAAATCCCTAGAGGGAAACAGCAAGGTAGTGACTGACAGCAAGGCAATGGCTCATCACCATCTGCACTTATGGAACAGGGATCAGACTACACAAGGGACACAGGTGAAAGCACCAGAGCCACTGCAGAAGGTGCACACTCATTGAAGAGGAACCACCATGGAGTGCAGAATTGAGACAATCTGTGCTCTTAGGAAAATGGTGCCAAGGGAAGAACATGAACAACAGCAGCCTTTGAAAACCTGGACCTAACTTGAGCCTAACTCGAGTCAAAGCTAAGAGAGAAGTTGTCAGCCAGTACCCTTGCCACGGTAAAGCTGCTGAAAAACCAAAATCTCAGCAAAACGCAGCTTGCTCTTGGCTGCCTGACCTGCTCTACTGAATCTCTCTTCATGCAGTTTTGCAGAGGAACTGACAAGATGAGCTGCAGCAGCCACTTGCTCTTTGTCACTTCGCAAACAGGACAGGGGTTGAATAAAACAAATGAAAAATGACTTTGAATTGTAAAAACACATGATCTCTGCCAAGGTTCTCCACTTACTGGCTCTTCCACTTCTCCTGAGGCATGCTGGGCTTCAGCTTGCAAATCAATTGGTGGAGCATCTTCAACAATTCTCTGCACAGACATCTGAATAAACTCATCAAAGGAATCCAACTGTTGCCTGACTAAACCCTTTTCATCAAAATAGGAGCTAAAAAAAAAAAGAAAAAGCAGGTTAACAAGAAATCTTAATTAATGTACTAATCTTAATTGATGTACTTTGCACATCAACAAACTTAAGATATAGTTATTACCAAAACTCCACAAGCCATGAAATATAGTTTAGAATCAAACACATTCACTTAACCCAAGGCATGGGTTTCAAACACAGATGCTTCTCACAAATGTTTAACAATTCCCTCCCTGCCTGAAGGCACAGACACTTGGGAGTGACAGACTTGCTGCCACCTCTTGGCTGTACCATGACTGCAAGCACAGTGAGTGCCTCAAATTCCCCTTAAATTGGAAGAGAAACGTGATGACAAACTTGCTGAAAGTGGCTCCAGCTCAAGTTTCCAACAACACCTGTAAATTACTTTGCCTTAACTAATTTTCCAAGCTGCAGTAAACTAAAAGCACGCCCCCAAATCCAAGTAACAGTACTGAGAACTTTTAGCTTGGATCCCCTCTATGCCAGCCACACAGGTCCTGGACGCTCAGGAGAAAACACCAGCACCCAAATACTGATCTTCTAACGCCAGCATCAGCAGTGAGATTAGTGAGCAAAACCAAGTGGTTGATATGGAACCAAAACCATCCCTTTCTTCACTGAAAAAAGCGTGTGCTGGGGGTCAGTAGAGCTTCTTAATCCCTGCTCACAACCCTTTGTTTCTCCTAAAAGCCCTGAGCGTGCCGCAGCCCGGGGTTTAGGGTGGCCAAAGCCTGCAGCTCCCAGCATAAGCTGGGTGTCACCTGCCAGGCCGAGAGCACCGCGTTGAAGGGACAAGGCCAGCCAGCCCAGCAGCTCACCTGATAACAATCCAGCAGGCCTCCTGCCACAGGTCGGGCGTGATTTCATCGTCGTCTTCATCATACTGCATATCTGTGGGGAAGCACCATATCAGTTAGGCCGCGATCACCGCCGTGGTGGGGCCGGCTCAGGGTCCCTCCGGTACATCGGGAGAGGCCGCCGCATCCCTCCCGCCTCCCGCGGGCCCCGCGCGCACAGCGCCATCCTTGATCGGGACGGGCGGCAGGAAAAGGTGAGGAGAAAGAAAAGGAAAACCCCTCACCTTCGTCCGCGTCGTACATGGTGGCGGCTGGCGGGGCCGCGGCGGCGGCGGCAGAGCGAGGGGCGAGCGGGGCGAGCGGGACCGCGGGGCAGCGCGGGGCAGCGGCGGCGGGGGCACGGCGGCTGCGCGGCCCGTGACGTCACGCTCGCGTCTCCCTCCAGGCGCCCGCGCGCTTCCGTGACGTCAGGCGCGCGTCCCGCGGCGCGGTGTCGGTGTGTCCGGCCCCGCCATGCTCCGCCTGGGCCCCGCGCTCCTGGCCCGCCTGGCCCGCGCCCCGCTCCGCGCCCCGCTGCGGCCGTGCGGAACGGCGGCGGCGAGCCATGGCGAGGAGCAGGAGCGCTTCGTTTTCCTCGAGTACGAGCCGGACGCGGCTGAGAGAGCGGCGGCGGCAGCGGCGGCAGCGCTGCGCCGGGAGCGGGAGCTGAAGGTGAAGCCGAAGCCGCGGCGGGAGCGCGGCGCGGCGGCGGCAGTGCCGAGCCTGTCCGACCCGTCGGTGCCGCCGAGCGGCGTGAGCTGCTCTGGTTGCGGGGCCGAGCTGCAGTGCGGGGACGGCGGCGCGCCGGGCTTCGTGCCGGCCGAGCGGTACCGCAGCCTGGTGTCCGAGGGCCCCGCGGGGCTGCGCGGCGCCGTGTGCCAGCGGTGCTGGGCGCTGGAGCACCACGGCAGCGCCCTGCGGCTGCGGCTGCCGCCCGAGCAGCACCGGCGCGTGGTGAGCGCTGCCCTGCGCCGCCCGCCCCGCCACGGCCGCGGGCCGCTGCTGCTCTACGTGCTCGACGTGATGGAGCTGCCCGACCCCGTGCTGCCGCAGCTGCCCGCGCTGCTGGGCCCCGACGTGCCCGCCGCCGGCGTGCTGGTCGTGGGCAACAAGGTGGACCTGCTGCCCGCGGACTGCCGCGGACACCTGGGGCGGCTGCGGCAGCGGGTGGCGGCCGCCTGCGCCCGGGCCGGGCTGCGGGGAGCCGCGCTGGTGGACATCCGCCTGGTGAGCGCCAAAACCGGCTACGGCGTGGAGGGGCTGGTCAGCCGGCTGCAGCGCTCCTGGAAGTGCGCCGGAGATGTCTACCTGCTGGGCGCCACCAACTCCGGCAAGTCCACGCTCTTCAACACCCTGCTGCGCTCCGACTACTGCAAGTCCCGCGCCCCCGACATCATCGACAGGGCCACCGTGTCCCCCTGGCCAGGTGGGTGCACTGCTCGCCCCTTTGTAGCACGGGTAATGGGGGATGTGCGGATAACAGTGGGCTGTGCGCCTCTGGGCTGCTCTCGGCCACCGCTGCAGCAGAGAACCTGTCACCAAAGCAGTGTGTGCCACCCTGAGCTCCTCCGTGGTGGGCACCAAGCTCCAGAGGGGTGCCATGCTTCAGTTTTTCACTTGTGAGGAGTGGCTGAAGTGTCTAACCCGGAGAAAAGGGGGTTTGGGAGATGTTATTATCACCGGCCAGGGGTCTATGTACAGATCACAAATGGGACAGGACTGCTGTGGAATGTGCCTTGAGCTGCTTTAATTTTCAGCATCAGTCTCATTACATGGTTATGACAGTGGGAAGATGCCAGCAGCTCCCATCCCAGGCAGCAGGCCAAGAACTTAATGTTACAACTTACTTTATAAGTTTTTTGACCAATCACACAAAGCAAAAACACATTGACAGTAGTTCCATCCAATCACTATAGGCACAAGTACCTTTGCTTAAAACAATGCTTGCTTATTTTGAATACAATACCTGCTTGTAAGCCTTGAAACACAATGCACAGAGCTCCATTATTAAGCTTCAAACTTCCTAATATCTTGCTAGATAAACTTTTCTGTAGCTTAGGGAGTTATTCTAGACAAGTGTTAATACACAGACCATTGTTCTATTTGTCCTTGCTTTTCTACTTTTAAAATAATTTTTCTGCTGATCTATCTCATGGCTACTGCTTATCTCTAATCACAGTTTTGCTGTCTCTGAGGCCTGCCTTTTGCAGCTTTCCCAAAACCCTCTGATTTTGTGTATTCCCACAGTTATCACTCTGCATCTACCCAAAAGAAGTTGTAGCCAGGTGGGAGTCAGTCTCTTCTCCAGGGCAGCCAGTGACAGGAGAAGGGGACATAGCCTTAAGAACACTAGGGCAGCTTTGGGTTGGACATTAGCAGGAATTTCTTCACCAGAAGGGTAATTACAAATTGGAATGGATTGCCTAGGGAGGTGATGGAGTTGCTGTGCCTGAATGTGGCACTCAGTGATATGGTCTAGTCAACATGGTGATGATCTCAGAGGTCTTTTCCAGCTTAATTAATCCTGTGATTGCTCACAGGGGGCAGCAGGAGTGGGATGCATGTGCCGAGGGTACTGTACATCCTGTAGCACTAGGAGGCTTGTTAAACCAGTGTGGGTCTGTGTGCACCCCTGCCAGTCAGGATGGCACCTGATGTGCGTGCCTTGCCTGTCCCTATCCATTAGAGGTGTCCTCCAGTCTGGAGAGGCTGGGAGGGGCAGTGGTGAGCACCTGTAGGACAGACCAAGCTGTCTGGAGTTGAGGCTTGAAAGGGATGCACTAAGTCAGCCTTGGCACCACTTGGCTTTGAGACCCTTTTATCCAAACTATTTGTGAGAACAGGTCTTAAGCAGGTGGATGGCTTGTTTTTGCCTCCCCAGGTTGGGAGGCTGGTACTTTGTGGGAGCAGCTGTAATTCTGCGTCTTTGTGTTACTGGGTTTCACCAAAAAGTTAGAGAAGCAGTTTTTTTGTAACCTTGTTCCTCAGAGCTGAAATATGTCAAGTAGTCAGAAATCCAAAAGTGCCTTCTGTTTGTTTTTCCAGGAACAACACTGAACCTGTTGAAATTTCCAATTATTAACCCTACGTGTGACAGGATATTCCGAAGGCAGGAGAGGCTAAAAGAAGAGGCAACAAAAACAGAAGATCAGCTAAGCAGTGAAGAAAAAAAGTACCTTAATCAACTTAAAAAGCAGGGTTACCTAGTGGGTGAGTAAAGGTGTTACCTTTCTGCCCCTAATGAAAACACTGCATTACACAAAGGTTAAATTATTTTGACCAGGGTTTGCTGCCAGATTAGTGGGGGCAAGACCTCCATCTCCTCCATAAGCAGCATCATTAGTACTTTTGAGACCTGTCAGCTGCTGTAGGAGCAGAGGGTTCCTCTGTGCAATGTATCTCCTCTCTGAACAAGGCTGGCAAATTCTGATAGCTTAGTAGTTTGTAAGGATATCACAGTATGGGCCATCTCTTGTTCCCAAATAAAGAAAATAAGTTTAATTTTAAGTAATTACATTTGGGCTGCAGGCTACAGGGGTTGTACATCATTTTAGTATGTATTCAAAAGAGGGGGGTATGTATTCAAAAGAACCAGAAGATAGATCTGGTTTTCAGATAATTCTGTGTTTGGCAATCTGAAGCACTGAAAATAGAAGGCAGCCTACTTTACCATAAATTGGAAATAACTGAGTATCTGTGATCTGTTCCCTGCTGAGATTTTGGAGTATGAGGAGTGCTAAGCAAGAATTATAGAAGGGATTTCTTATCATTTTGGCTTTTGAACACACAAATTTCAAGCCACATAGTGTCTTTATCACCTTTATACTACTCAATTGCATCTCTTTTAAGCCATGAAAGGGACAGATGTCTGATTGAAGGAAAGCAAGTTAAAAAGTAAATTACCAGGAGAACCTTTCATTTTAATCCAGGAAGAGTTGGAAGAACATTTCAACAGCAGAAGCCTAGTGCTGAGATTGACTTCGACCCTGACACACTCTCTTACAGCATGGATGAAGATCCTAGAGATGCCCCTAAGAAGCCTGAGGAAAGGGAGGAGTTCACTCACAACGAAGTGAAGGATGCTCGATGGTGTTTTGACACTCCAGGAATTGTAAAGGAAGACTGTGTGGGTACTCCGTGGTGCTGTGTTTTGGGGTGACAGGGTTTGGGAGGGCTGTTCTGCCTTACTTGTGCTGTAGTCCTTGCATTAGGATTCTCTTAGCTTGGGAATTGTGTTAAGATAAGGTTTAACTCGAGAGGGGTTCACGTGATAATGCTGTTGCATTCTGAGCAGTGCAATTCTGCCAGCTTTGCCAAGGAGCTGCAGGGCTGTGTCACCAAGCTGCCACAACCTCTGAACCAAGGGAGGTAAGCAAGAGTGCTCTTAGCAAGTTCACACCAGCATCACCCAAAGGAGCTGACACTTCTTCAGCTGTCCCAGCCTATGGAAGAAGGTGATGCTTAGGAGGATAACCAGAGTTGTATGACTGAAATACACATTAGAGTAAGCCTTCTCCTGAAGTTAGGAGGATCTGCAGTGTTGCTGCTATGGCTCCAATATGTCAGGCCTTTGTCAGTAGAGCAATGCCCTGCTGAAGCCAGTGCTCACAAAGTGCACATGTCTAAAACAGGCATATTTTGATTTTTGGTGTTTCTAATACCCGTGCAGAGCTGCAGGTCATCTTCTGGGGAAGATTTAATAGTACAGGCAGACAGGAAGGTTCTGAGGAGAATTAAGTGCAAGGATTGTGCTGAGACTTTGCAGCTCAAGTGCAGGGGCTGCTTTCATGGACACTAGGAAGACTCCTGGTTTTCTAGTGGTGTATTTGTCAGACCATAACCTGTTTTACTAGGCTGCACTTTGGTCTCTGATAGCCAGTGTAAAGACTGGCATCAGCTTAGAGACCTGGTTTGGTAACTTGAGATTGTGTGTGTTCTTCCCTTCTTCTGGAATTTAATACTTGTGGAAAATACTTCCTGCATCCAGAAATACTTTTTGATTCTGATTCTCCTCATGCTCTCCTTTGGAGAGCTCCATGCCAAGTTTCACATCAAATTTTGTTCCTGCAGTCAATGTTCAGTCTGAGTGGAGGACAAGCACATTGTCTGTGGCAGATTTTGGCAGGGGACATTGTTCCTGTTTCTCACTTACTGTGTGGACCAGAATTGAACTGTTGTGTCAGATGTTCTTGACATTGCTTTGATTGATCTTTTCTTCTATCCCTATGATGCCAATACTAAATTCGTTGTTCCCATTGAAACATGTGGGATGAGTTATGACAATTTATTTTGCAGGTTTTGAATCTCCTAACAGAGAAGGAAGTAAAGCTGGTTTTGCCATCACATGCCATTGTTCCACGGACTTTCATTCTCAAGCCAGGAATGGTGTTGTTTTTAGCGGCCTTGGGACGTATAGACTACTTAGAGGTAAGGGAAGAAAGGATTTTGGGAGCAGCTGCTTCATCTCTTACTGCAGTCCCAGCCACAAAAGGCTTTCTGGGTAGCTTTCCCAGACCCCTTCATTGCTGCTTTGGAGATGATGAACCAGTTACTGAATCACTGCTTGAAGTCAGCATGCCTTGGGATGGGTAGTTGGAAGGTTTTTTTACTTGGTACCAGCATGCAGTATTACATAGTGTATAATGGGAACTGCTTTTGAATGCTGACAAACATCTTCAGTTTAATGGGCTTCCCATGGCATACAGAGAGGCATGAGGGAGAGAGGAGAATGTCAGAATTAACTGGGTAAATAAGTGGCTTTCCTCATTTCTGTGTTTTATGAAAGCTGCCTGCTAAGAGAGAAAGAGCATAGACATTTTTCTTTCCTGGCAGACCTCTGAAGAACTTGCCTGAGGAAGCGATTAATTGCACATGTATTTTAGTTTCTGTAAAAAGTATTTTTCAAATGTGTTGTGTGTTCCCCCTGCCAATAATTTCTTCCATTTATTCAAAATCCCATGCCATACACCTTTATTGAACTGTGTGGAGTTGACCTGCCATGATGCTTCCTCTGAAGGGGCAGTTTCTTTCATAAAAACGTTAGACATTATCTTAAGTCTTAGATGATTTTCTCAGTAGCTTGCCCTGTTTTAGGGGTGTGTATGGTTATTCATTTGTTTCAGTCTGCTTTCCAAGAGCACCACTGAAATGTCGAATTGGTATTTTGCTAAGGACACTCCTGACCTGCTGGAAGAAAACCAGAAAGGTGGAGGGGGCAGAGTTCTGTAATGTAAAAAACGTACTGGTATGGCTGGACCACACATCAATGTATCAGTCTTGTGTATCTCTTATCCTCCTGATATCTTGGAGAGCAGTTGTGCTCAGATCATGACAGAAGCTCCTGCCTCAGCTTAGACCTTTGAACTTTAAGGAATTCCTGCCCTTATTTCTGGCTACTAGCAGTGTGTGAAGAGATCTCTCCCCTCTCTGACCTTGTTTTCTATTCCTGCAAATGTGATGAGAGTGCCTGCTGAAATTGCTCCACCAGCTTAGCATAGCTTGAGAGCAGCTGGAACCAAGTCCTGTTGACTGAGCACTGTGTGTTAGAAGTGTAGAGTGATAGGAGAAGAAGCACCAGACCAAATGTCCATCACATCTTGCATTGAATAACCACACTGAGTTTGTTCCTGTGAATTAAGTGAGAGCAAAGATGTCTCTTGGATGTTTTACCTGAGCTGAGCAGCTGTGCTGGCTGTAAATGGGGCATTGGGGGTGCTTTGAGGCTGGATGGTGAAGCTGTGGGTCTTCTCTTCTGGAAACTCAAATCCCAGTTTTATATAAACCCTGGCTGCTCTCATTGGCAGAGGCAAGGACCTCTCAAACAGGGAGGGGCCATCTAGCAGGGCAGGTTTTCAACATGCAGGAAAGAAATGGGGCAGGAGAGAGCAATTCAGGGCTGCTTTTCTCTTAGCATAATTAACATCCTTTTGGTATTTATTTCAGGGAGAAAAGCCTGCCTGGTTTTCTGTCTTGGCTTCTAACCTGTTGCCAGTCCATGTTACTACACTGAGTAATGCAGACACCCTCTATGAGAAGCATGCAGGCCAAGAGTTCCTCAAGGTAAGGGGAGGTGCTGGGGAGAGCTTGTAGCTGCAGGTGGGCAGGACCCCTGTCTGGGGCACAACTGACAGGGAACATCCATAGGTATCAGGAGTTTGGCACTTGTGCAGTGGGTGAGTGGAGATGCTCAGTGTGGAGCAGTCTTGTACAGACTGTGTGGCTGAAGTGTGTTAGGAAAGAGCACTCCAGATGATGCATTTTCAGGAGAGTTTCTGCTTCTAGCATTCAGGCTGATTAGATCTGCAGTGCTCTGCATACTTATATTTGGCTCCTCTTGAACAGCCTTAAAGTGCACACAGCAACAGGAATATTTTCCATGGCAGATCTGCAGACTGGGATTTCAGAACAGATTGCAGCTGAAAAATTTACTTTTTTTATTCTTTCCCTGATGGATCTTCTGCATATATCTTCATCTCTTGGTGGTCTGACTTTTTCCTTGGTATGGCAATGTTCTGTGTAGCACTTGCAGATTGATGGGAGATGGGGTGAGCTGTCCTTGCCCTGGCATTTCCATTCCTGTGCTCATGGAGAACAAGTGCTGTCACTCACATCAAGGCAGCTGGCCTGATCCACCAGCTGCATCCTGCAGTGGGCACTCCATCTTTGCTCCCCTCCCACAGGGTTGCTCTGGGTGTCATCCTGACTCTGTTCTGACAAACCTGAAATAACTCCTGGAGGTTATTCAGTCCAGCTCTTAACTGGCTAACAAATGTTTAATGTCTTTATTCTCCCTTGTGCCTTGATTACCAGTTTGAAGTAGGAATGCTGAAGAATCTCTTGACTGTTAAATAATTTCTGTGTGTTTTAATCTTAGGTTCCCATGGGTGGGGAAGAGAGAATGAAAGAGTTCCCCCCACTTGTCCCTCAAGACATTACACTGAAAGGAATTGGTACCACTGAGGCAGTTGCAGATATCAAACTTTCCTCTGCAGGTAATTTAATATTTCTTCATTAGTTTGCTTTGCAGGGTTTGCATCCTAGAAATATTGATGGGAAGAGCCCTCTGAAGGGGTGAAGCTGTATTTCCTGCTCAGAGCAGGATGTGAACGCAAAATCATAGCAGCCATGACTTTTTCCAGCTGAAGCCTCCAAGAATGGAGATTGGCAGCCAGGCTTGTACAGGATGGCAGCACTGGAATACTTTTTGTTCTGGCTGCCAAACAGGTTCTACACTATCAGGAATTGCTGTAACACTGTCAGCTGTCCAGGTGAGAGGGAAAGGGCCATTGATTGATTGGAAAGCTTCCTTCTTGTGTTCTTGTAGTTCCCACCATCCCTTTTGAGTTTACCAGGAAAGAGCTGTGTCTGAGAAGAGTAACCTGGCTTTAGGTGCTGCCTTCTGTTGGGAAAGGGCTGGAGATGACCTTTGAGCTTGGTTTCTCCAGCAACCACACAAGGGTAGCTCAGGTTTTTAGCCACTCTGGGAGGCAGCAGTTAGTGTCAGAACCTTGTTTTGATCCTGGGGACTTGTCTTTCTTACTGTCTGTGTTCTCTCTGGCTGTGCAGGCTGGGTGGCAGTGACAGCTCACGAGGAAGAGGAACTGCTGCTCCGAGCCTACACTCCCAAGGGCACTGCATTGGTGGTGAGGGAGCCTCCCCTTCTGCCTTACATCAGTGCCATCAGAGGGGCCAGGATCCCAGGCACTCCTGCCTACAGGACCAAAAAGCCTCCTTCCTTTGTGGAAAATCTAAGAACCACAGGAAGCAGATAGTGCCTCTCATCATTGAGCAAGGCAGAAGCCAGAACAGCCCCTGGAGAAGCTTGTGACTTACTGGTATTCAGAAAATGTTGGGACTCATTTTGAAGGGCCAGCAGGCACATTTTGGAAAGCAGGGCTGGGAGGAGCTCTCCAAGTCCACATGTGATCCAGCTGCTGAACTGCAGTCATTTTGGATGAACTGAGGGGCTGGAACCTTGTTGTGGGAGGAGAAACTGCTTCTCCCTGGGATCTGCATTGATGGGCAGATCCCTTTACCTGTCCCCTCTTGAAATACAGAGTGGAACTCACCGTCCTGACCTGGTCTGATTTTGCTGCTCACAGAGTAGGTGGTTTCTTGCAGGCATGCTCCCTCGTGTCAGAAATCATCACCTTGTTCTTAAGGTATTTCCATAGTTAAAGGGGTGGAGGGAGTTGGAAGGAGCAGGGAATGCTCCAGTGTGGGTATGACCCTCCTAGTGGCTGATACTGATTTAACAACATTGACCAGAGGTGTCCTTTCTCTCCTTCAGCATCTGGAGCAGATTAGGGTGTGCAGTATCCTGCTTTTGGACACAGGAAGAGTGATTTAATGAAAAGCAGGTCTGCTCATGTACTTGAAGAGCAAAGTTTTGCAATTCACTGCTTTGATTTGGTTTCTGTAGCTTGGGTACAGGTTTTTGAAACCAAGGGCATAGAATAAAACTTCTCAAAGACCATCTTTTGTTGACCTAGTTGAGAAAGCACTCTTTGTGTGGATATGAGCATCTTGCTAAACACATGAAAACTCCAGTGCAATAATAAACATGCTCAATCTGCCAAAGACAGGCAGACTGTGAGAGACACATGGCCAGTCAGTCTGCTGAAAAAGAGGCAAAAAAAGAGTATTTTCTAATCTCCCTGCCATTTCACTGATGTTTTCCTCAGTCAGAGGTGGCTCTGCTGTCCTTGGGTCCTTGGCTGTTGTCCTGTAGAAGCCTGGCTGATCAGCAGAAATCATTGGCTTATTCAGCATCCTCTTCTCACCATTGTTGCCTGTGGGACAGTGTATTGGCATTCCTTTAGGGAAACCTGTCCCTTTGCCCTGCTCTTTGTTTGCCAGACCCACCATGTGGGTCTGTCTGCAACCCCTGCTCAGGGATGCTCTCATCCCCTATGTGAAGCTGCTGGGACTTCTGTGGAGCCACTTACTGTGCTCTGCCACTTCCTTCAGCTCTTCCTTGCCCTGCACTGCCACCTCCTGGGGGCACCTCCTGCCACCGCTGGGGGCTGGGGAGATGGGGTGGGCCAGGTGGGGCCACGGTGGCTTTGAGGAGCGCTGGGTTCAGCACTGTCCTGGAGGAGTTCCTTGTCCTTGCTGGCAACTGCCCAGTCCTTCCTGTGTAGAAAATCAGTTCTTTGTGAAGGTCAGTCTGCTGCCAGTGAACCCAGGGAATGTGGTTCACATGTGTTCCGTCTGTGTCTAGACCAGAGTTCTTCCTGTACATTAGATAAAATATGTGCACTCTCTCCTTGACTTCTCAGAAGGTCTTTCCTAGTTCTTTCTGGAAGAAAAAAACTATGGCAGCATGTTCCTCACTGCACAGGCTGTGGCTCACACAGCTCTCCTGTTTTCCTCTGTTTCTCTGTTGTGAAAGCCAGCACATGTGTGGCCACTCCTAGGCTGTGCTTGGCAAGCCTCAGAGCACAGGCAGCAAGATCCAGAATGTGTTTTTTCCAGCATGGGTGTACAGGACTGTAGCTGTCTTCCTGGCTGGATTTCTTTGTGCTCTTGGCAGGCCTCACATTTGGCTGCCAAAATTACTGAAGGAGTTGCCAGCAGGACTGGTGTGAGGATTTTCTGTTTTAGCTGTGTTAATCTTCACAATGCTGTGATTTTCAATTTCCCCTTCAAAAAGGGAAAAAGCACATCTTTTTATGTTTAAGAACAAGATTCTAGAAGCTTTTTTTTTTGAGAGAGATTATTTTTAAAATTACTTTTGCAGTGATGGAAGAGAAAATGCCACATTTATCTCAACTGTTGTAATACACACAGCAAACCAACCCCGGTACAAATTCTGCCCTTTTTTTTTTGAGCAGGCCATGGATTTATCAAGCACTTTCCTTGACTTGCTCATAGCTAAATGGGAGAATCATGTTGCTTTGTGTATTTTTTCAAGACTGGGTATCTTGGAACATTTTTAAGCTGACAAGAGGCTAAACAATTTCTTTGTGTGTAGAAACAGCATGAACAACTCATGTTGTGCAGTTTATGTCTTAGGCAAGAATACTAAGAATGCAAAAGAATACTGAGACAGGGACTTCTGAATCTTGAATAAATGCACCAATCCAAACTTCCTCCTGCATGATTTACATGCATCAGATGATGGTGAGAGAGAGAAAGAGTATCAAGATCTGCCAGAACTGCCACCTTAATATCACAACCCAAAAGCAGGTGAAGTTATTGAAAGATACCAAAGTGGCACCTATTGCTTTTCATGCTTGGCTGTATGACAGGTATGGGGATGATGTACGTCATGAGAAGGGACTGGTAGCCAACACTTCCCCTCTGCACATCAGGGGTGTGAAGGCACTGTAGCTTTTGGAGGCAAAAGTCACTATAATGTTCTTGTGGGGATGATGCAATTCTGCAATTGCCTGAATTCAGAGCTGTGCTCACAGGCCACAAGAGAGTCCATCACTCCTGCCTGTCTAGCTTCCAGCTTGAAAGTAGCTTTGGTACTGATTTCCATAAAAACATCTATTTCTTAGCATAATAGTCCTGGGCTGCAGAGGTGAATTTGCCTGGTTCTGCCTTTTTGCTCTGTAAAGTTCTCACACATATAGTGGCTTTAGTTCTTCCTGGAGCACTGCCTGGGGTGGTGTCACTCTGTTCCCAATGTGAAACAGACTGTAATTTGCTCAGGCTGTTCCTCAAACTTTTATAGAAGAATAAAAGTTTGGATTTGTTTCCATCACTGAAGTGTCTGGAAAAAGAAAGGTAAAATGATTAAGAACTTCAAACGCTTGAAAACTGAAGAAGAGGGGAAAAGCTGGAGCAAATAGAAGAAAAAAAGTAAGTAGCAGACACTGCCTAAGGGAGGACTGCATTTAGAGACAACAAGGTTTATATTTTGTGGTCTTATGTGCAAATCTCACCACAGGAACATTTCAAAACCAGGGCCTGGAGTTTGGTCCCCACAGACCTCAAAACAGTTCTAGAATGGGGTACAATTGACAAGTGTTATGGAAACAGAGGGAAACATAAAAAGCTACAGTTTGTCTTCACAAAACTGTCAGAAATCTGTTCACAGAGATCAAATATCATGTCTCTGTGATCTGATGTATGCTCCACATACAGAGCACGTGAACTCAGCAAGCAGTTCTTGGGGTGAGAAACAATACCTTTAAACCTTTATACATTTGCTAATTGAAAATAAAAATGTAACTACAAAATTAGTCCTGGTCTTTCCCTGTGTATGGTAGATTGTACTGCATTTAGTCTGAAATTAATAAACAAGTATATAGTCACACAAATTTTGGAATTTTGAATTAAGCTATCTACAGTTGTAAAAGAGAGATTTTATTCTACACTTCTAGAACATTTGGTGTGGCTTTGGTTTATTTTTTTATAAGATGAGAAAACCACTTCTGCAGTACATTCTATATTTGCAAAACAAGCACATTTAATTTTAGAAAACACAGTGAAGTGAGGGAAGCCTGACATTTTTTCTAAAAGTCAAGGCAAGCAAAGTTAGAGGTTAGAAGCAGATCCTTGAGCTAGTAAATGTCAGATTTGTCACGACCTTAATAAAATCCTGCAAATACAAAATATGTTGTAAACATTAACAATGGGACAAGAAAATAACAATATACCAAATACATGTGCAAAGGTTCTGAGAGTTTGCTGAACCTCTTGCAGTTATGACAAGCAGAGGAAATATGGGAAAAGAGAGAAAAGAAGAAAAAAGTGTAAAAATATGGTGTCCAACAAAGGGAGGTTAACCTCACTGATGTGCTGTTCATACATTGTTACTCTACAAGGTGAGGGGACCCACAGGCAGAGAGCTTTGAGCATATTACTCCTTTTTGTTCAAAGAATAAGGGAAATGTAGAGAAGTAAAGGAAATTCCTCTCAATAAGTATTAGGAAACATGTTAGACAGTATGTATGCAGCTAAGTCTTTCAAATTAGTGTCTTAGAGGACATCTTTTTCCTGATGTGAGCTAACTGGGAAATGCAGTAAATATCTTTGATTAGAACTATCAGACAATGAACTGACACAGGGATTCACTGGGAAAAATTTAGGGTTTATCTATACTGACAATTCTGCAGATTTATTTTGGCTAAAACTGTGGTGGACAGGCACATGCTTTTAAATTTGAGTGTCAAATCTTAAGAATCCAGCGAGCATTGTGGAAACAATCATTTGACATCCATGTAACAACCTTGTTGCTGGGCTTTGGGCACTCTGGATTCCCTCCATGGGACTCTTGGACTTGTGGTTACATCTGTGTAGTAGCTCCCAGGAATTCTTTTGTGACAATACATAATGCAACATTTTTAAAAGTGCCTGTGATGCTTTGAAATGCTGTGGTAGTCCGTACTGCTGAGTATGGAGGTCATGAAAAGGAATGAGTGTGTTTCAGGATCCATGGCTTCCATATGGACAAGCACCTTTGGATGAGTGAGGGCAGTGGCAGACTGCCACTTGGTTTGTTGCTGGCAGTCCTGTTTGAGAAGCAGGAACTGGCCAGTTGAGCCAGTTCACATTAAATTTTTTCAGGCTGCTCAATTTGTTTAAATGTGATACTGGTGGGACACATCCTGAGCATGACCAACAGTGATGTCAGAACTTCACAGTAAGGAAAGCTTCTGTGGCAAAGCAGGGAATGAATGTATGCTGTTTATGAAAAATTATGCAAGTGACCCATTTAATATCTTGCACTAAATCAATAGGGGCTCTTGTAGGAGAAAACCCTCAGCAAATTACCATGTGTTGTGGCCTTGACAAATGAAAACCCTGAGAGCTGGGCTAAGCATACAGAGTCAGTGATAAAGCAGTGGGGATGCTAACAAATGGCATTTATTAGCCTAACTCCACAAGGACTGGTAAATTCTCCTCTCTCCATTCCTAAGCCTATAAAAAAAGGAAAACTAAAAACAAAGGGCATCAGGAGGAGGCTGAGGGCTGTCAGTGTCCTCTGAAAGAGGGACATGTAGAGGGGCATGCTTAAGAAAGATGCCAAAACTACAGTAAGCCTAGAAATAAAACAACCAGAAATAAAATTGCTGATGTTTCTGAGCAATGCAGGCCAAAACATGGTTCCTGTTTGAAGCATTCAGAGACTGAGGCTGAGGTTATGATACTTGATTCTGAAAAGGCAGCCTTTCAGTCAAGTTTTGATTGAGGGGGCTCTATGGAAGCACTGCAAAGTGCACTGCACTTGTCTGGCTAATGGAGCATGAGAGAGGTGAAGCTGATGGTGGTCAAGGGAGCAGCACACTACAAATTAAAGGAACTGGCTCAAGTGGAAATGAACACCACTGAGAGTGAGTGCAGAACTGTTGTACCCAAAGTTATCCCTGTGTACAGATCATTTCGCTGTCAAACTGATGATCATTAAACATGCCTAACTCTTAAACAACTAAATCGTGGTTAAAGCTGTCATTTATGCCAAGCAAAGAGAAATTCTAGCAAAACAACAAACTAACAAAACCCAAGTAAGCCCTTCATCACATTTTGGGCAGCCTCACTGAAATTCAAGGTCAACCAACACAGCAGGATGAAAATAACCATATGTATAAATCTTTAGAACACTACTTTAAAGGGAAAGTATGCATTAGGTTCAATGAGTTATGAAAAGAACATTTTGCTGCCTGTGACCTTAATTTTTGAAAATTATGTTCTTTTCAGTCTTAACATGTTTATCTTGAACTACATTATGAACATACATTGGTAAATGGGTGCTTGCACCAATCTATTTCCAGTCTTGGATTAGGACCAATGTACATGGCAAAATCTAAGTGTTGGGAAAGTGACATTGTTCCATTTTCTTCCAGCAGGTCAGCTTTTAAAAAAGCATAAGGAATAATACATATGCTTCTGATATTCAACAATCTGTCAAAAAATGTTTATGTTGTTTTGAGTTCTCCTGAAATTGCATCACATTAACATCAAACCTCAAAAACATTTGTTGTGCTGGTAAGAAGATGAAAACCTAGATGGAAATGGATATAGGTTTAAAAGGAAGGAAAACCTTCTCTTTTATTGTTTTTAATCTTCTAACTTCAATTAAAATGATTTCTAAGAGAGATGCCAGAGGCTGCCTGAAGGAAAATTTTCTGTTGACAACAGTGGTGACTGTATTTTATTAATATTTGTGATAGAAGGGTTACTGCTTTGACTGGGGCTTATTTACTTGGATGCATATAAAACCTCAAATGATAGATTAGATTATTAATTCTTGCTCTGTGTTTACACAATGAGTAAACCTAATAGCATTCCTGCTGATACTGCCACTGATTTTTATTTACTTTCCAGAATATGATGCATAGGGAAGTTTTACAACACACAGTTCATTTGGGCCTTGTTTACTTCTGCTTTTACCTAAACCCACTTCCACTTGAAAGCATCTAAGCACTGCTTAATTACTGAGCAACGTGGCCCAAGGAATCTGTGTAACATACCACTAAACGTTACATCTTTACATCCCTGAGTTGTGGATCAGGTGGGATACATCTTCCTTAAGCATCCAGACACTTTCTATTGCTAGAATGCTAGAAATAAGCCAGAACTATCTTGGTTGGATCTCTTTTTCTTCCTGGAGATTTGCCACAGTAGAAAAAGAAGGACCTGCAGAATAATTCAGAATAATTTATATCTACACAATACTGAATTCTTTGGGGCTTTTTCTACATCTTTTTGCAAATGGAATAGTGAATACCAGGAACACAGATATGATTAACTGGTTCTTCAGGCAGTCAGATTACCAGGGAATATAGAGACAAAGATAAATCAGACTGGGAAAAATATCCTTCAAAAATATTCTACTGGGAAAGTTTCAAAAAGGGAAAACAAAAAGTCATTCACTGAGCATGCTGTGAAAGCTGAAATATTTGAAAACAACCTAATCTGACTGATCATATCACAGGTTTTTCATTAAAACTTTATGTGGTCAATATATGAGTAAAAACGCTTGGGATTCCCACCCATAAGTACTCCTGAATATTTCTTTCTAATTCTGATTTCTGAAGTGATATATACCTTTCTTTACATTTGCTCTTGGGTTTCTGCAGCTTTCTTCTGCTAAATGTTGATGCAACTTAATTTTCCAATCATAAAATGGCCTTCTAAACTTTCCAGCTTGTTGAGAAAATTAATATTTTAATAATACTCACAAGTAACTGCAGGCCAAATATTTCCAATGCTTTGCCTCTCAAGCAGCCATAAAAATAAAAATAGCCAATCACAAAAATGGCCATAATTTTTCCATTTCAGTGTTTTTACCTTTCTTTGAGTGCCTCATGATAGAGATGAAAGGAACAGCAGCAGCAGGGAAAAAAAAAAGAGAGGGGCAGAATTGACTGTAATTCAAAAGAAGTCACTTATTATGGGTATAGGAGTGGATGATGCTGAAATAAGACCAAGAACTGACATTTATGGTTCCTTGGCTCTCTATATGAAACATTAATGTACTCTGGATCAGTGGATAAATGAATGAAGAGGGAAGACAAAAAGAATGAAGCATGGAAACAAGAACCATCCAGGCCAACGTGATTACCAGTGAAATTGATCCTCCTTTTGTACTTGCTCTTTCAGTGATTAGCTTTTGCCATTAATTTAATCCAAGATGACAGGGTGCTGCACATCAGCCCAGGTATCAGGCTGACCAAATGGCAGAATCCAAGGAGCACAGAGCACATCTGGCCCTGTATCCCAACTGGGATACATAAAAGACATGGGATACAGACATGGAATACGAAATCAGATATAATTCTAACATTTGATTTGCAAATATTTGGGGCAAGTGAAGAACAATTCCATAATATCCACAGCGATGCCTTCTTATTAAATTCATTGAGTGTGGATATATTTTAGATCTGTAGGTATTTGCATAATGAGCATACTTGATAAATAATTACTAAGTTACAGTTAATTGTCCAATTAATTATGGGAAAATCAATTTGAAGAGTTGAAATTGAGAAGTCTTACAAGTTGCAGCAAGAAGACACGAAGAGCAGATGAAAGGAAAAGGTAAATTCAATTAAAATGCCATCTAAGCCAACTTCATAATTTTTAAGACAGTGAAGAGGGGTGGGCAGCTTGCATCCCACTGCTGTAAGATGCTTCCCTGCCATTGAGATTTCTAAGACTATTAGCTCTGATCCTCTGCACCTTTGCACAGCAGCTCTGTCTATTCCACAGAGACCATTAGTCTCACTGAACTCCACCTGCCTTCCCTCAGGGAGGTTTGTACACATAAACAGAGATGCTTGAAAGCTTCTCTGTTTAATAATACATTATTGCTTTCTATAAATTGAAGCGTTTTCATTCATTTTTGCAGGCTAAACATGGGGCTTATAGCAAATACAGCTAGATCATGAGTACCTATGTGATGGCGCCTCTGGCACTGCCCTCAGCTGTGATGGTCCTTACTTGACACAGATCTGTCAGCAGCAAACCTCAGACCAAATTCTACCAAAAACAAGAGCCTGGGCCAGTCTCAGGACAGAGCAGCACATTAGCCACACTGTGGGGAAAATACAGCTCATTTAAAGTCTGCTTTTTCGAAGAGGAGAGAATAAAGCCAGTGCCTTAACAGAAGAGCTGAAGAGCAGAGGGTGAATTGCTCTTTCCATGAATGAACATTGCAGTCACTCAAGCAGACAAGACAGGAAGCAGCACTTGGAAGAGTTTCGGAAATTGTGATGTTCACTTTCCTTACTCACTTTAAAGCACAGCCTCTACTTTTCACATGCTGCTTTCCAAGTCTCTCATGTCTTACTCATGCCTCCATGCATCTGCTGATTTACTTTTCCAACAGCACTTGAGGTGAGGAGAGAATATCTGCAGTTTTAATCATGAGCATTTTCAGATGTTTATATGTTTTCAGTGAGCAGAGTGCTCCTTTCCTTGCTTTCCCAGGTAATTTAGTGTAGATCTCCCAATAAATCACCTTTCATTCTTTGTCATTGTCATCTGAGGGACTTTTCCTTGTCACTCACACTTCCTGGGTAGCATAGGAAGTCTGCCAGTGTGCAATATTTTTATTGATAACAAAGAGAATAGACCACCTGGCTATTTCACCATGCCAGTGTGACAGACAGTCCTCAATGGGTAAATGGGGGCTTCCTTTATGCTCCCCTTACTTGTTTTGCCAGGGAAGGTGAGCTGTGGGTGAGAACAAAAATACAGATAGCTCAGCTGACCATGGATAATTGTACTAAGTGTAAGTCCTCACAATCAGTGAAAAAGAGAAAATCTGGATGTGTCCCATCACTTTTCACAGTGAGAATAAGCTGATTTATAAAGTTTTGTTTTGTTTGCTTTTAGGAAATTCCCATTTGTCTTCCCAATTCAAACATCTCTGTGTTGCTAATCGCAAGTTACTGATGCTCCCCAACCAATCTTTCAGTTATTGCTCATATTGTTCTTGTTCCTTGGCATTTTCCTATTGTGTTATTTCAGATGTCTGCTTCAACACTAAACACACACTGTCTTACAGATTTGCACTGTAACACAGATTTTTTTTCACCAAAGGAAGCAGGCAGTGTTGAGATGTGATTGGCATCAGATGATACTGGGGGGAAAAAAAGGGTAATATTTGATGCTCAGTTCCACCAGGATGGAAAGTGCAATGGTAATTCATAAGTGAGACATATATATGAGGTAAAAGCAAGGCCAGGCTGAAAAATAAAGTCTGAAAAATAAAAGATCTGCTTTAAGGTGCCCTTGGTCTTGCCACACCCACCACACTTAGAAAACCACACCACCCACCAAGAAAACAGCAGGTTTGTAAAATGTGCTTGCATGCTCAGAGATGAATCTCCTAATATCATATTTGTAAAGGTACTTAGGAACAGTTAAGTTTTAGCGATTGTACTGAGTTAGAGGTGCCTTAGCAGCTCTTGAAATACGCTCTTTTCTTGTATGTGCTCAAATTACCTGGATGTAAAACAAACTCCCCAAAACAAAGTAATAAAACATTTTTTTCATAGTTACATGGCATTCAGGTTTGAGATGCTGAGGTGGTTTGGTGACGGAAGGGTTGTGGAATGCTCAGAAATCACCAAAAAGATTTCTTAAATACCTAAATGAATCCCTAATCCTTGACCCCAGTCAGAGCCAAACTCATGAGCTCCAGCATGGCTGAAAGCAGTGCAAGGACGAGGATGGAGAATCCCCTGGTGTCACCACACGGGTGCAGAGGTCCTTCCCCAGGCAGGCACTACCAGCAGGTCCCAGATGGCAGGGACACTTTCCCCTCTGGGCTCAACTGAGCTGCACTGAAATCAGCACCATCCCTCTGACCAAGCCATGCTGCTCAGCAGTCCTTCAGAGGGGTCATTCAAGCGCTGCTGTCTTCTCTGAGGTGGGACAGACACCTCACTGGGCCGTAATTAGGGCCCTTGCAGACTTAAAAAATGTCAGGCTTTTATAAAAACCTGTTACAGGAGCCTCAGAGGTTTTGAATTCACTGACATTTGCCCCTGTAGCCATGTGCCCAGCAGCCCCAGCCACACAGCTCTTTCCCATCTCATTTTACGGTGGCATGTGAATATTTGTTCCTGGTTATTTTCTGATAAAAAAGGTGGCATTTCAGGGAACACTTGGTCTCCCGTCTAAGGTGGAGGATCAGTTCTTTGCCGAGCTCTTTCTCTCTGTACCACTTGATGGCACACTTGCACAGCACACTGCCGGCTGAAGGCAAGAGAAATCCACATGCAAATCCTGTCCAAAGTTGTTCCACTTAATTTGTTCTGCATCATGAATGTACCTGTTTAATTGATTAAAGAAATCTAACACTGTAGTATTGAGTAGGAATAAGCAGGGCATACAAAATAATTACATCAAGAAAGTCTTGTATTTTGCAATTTTAATCCCAGAAGTTTGCCTGGATAATTCATTACTTTTTCATTATTTCAGTAAGTTTGGTGAGAAACTTGCCTTTGTCCTGCTGAGCCCTTTCTTGCAAGTGGGACAAATTTTCCTTGCCCAATATTTTATTCTTCCTTCTAGAAGGTTTGTAGCAGGTTTGCTCATTGCATGTGCTCACGATGGTTCAGGGTTTTCTTTTGTCCTTTCAGTTCAAAATAAATAATAAATTGCTATTGAAACAAAACAATTATACCTTCTG